AGGGGGGCCCGGCGGGGTCCGGCGGCCGCCCGAGGGGGCGGCTGGGGCCGCGGCGCTGGCGGGGGAGCGGGAGCGGCGGCAGCCGCGCCGCTGTGATGAGTCATGCGAAGGCAGCCAGACGCGTAGGTTCCTCACAGGAACCCGGAGGAAACCTGAGCGCACATCGCTTGTTACCTAATCCCTGCCTCCTTCGGGGCTTCCCTGGAGCTTCCGCCGGCGCCTCCGCTGCTGCCGGAGGGTGCGCGGGGCCTGGGCGGCAGCGGGGGGCGGCCCGGGCTCGCCCCGCCGTGAGGGGACGCCGCTGTCCCGCCGAGCCGCGGCCCGGGCCGGGGCCAAGAGCAGCCTCGGAGAGCGGGCTTGACATCGGAGCGTGTTTGCGTGAGGGGAAGTGGCCATGAGAAAGGCAGAGGGTAGGTTTAGTTCAGGTGTTCGGGAGGAATTCTTCGCTGTGAGGGTGGGGAGGCCCTGGCAGAGGTTGCCCAGAGAAGCTGTGGCTGCCCCTGGATCCCTGGAAGTGTCCAAGGCCAGGTTGGATGGAGCTCTGAACACCCAGGTTCAGTGGAAAGTGTCCCTGCCCATGGCAGGGGTTGGAATAGATGGTCTTTAAGCTCCCTTCCAACCCAAACCATGCCGTGATCCTGGGATAAATTACATATTGCACAATATCTACTCATTCCATGTTCTGGCAAAGAATTTGTGAGAGGCTGAAGATGCTACACCAACTAAAACTTAAAAAGATAACCTGTCAGTGGGAGACAAACTGCAGTGAATATTCTCTTGCTGTCTAATAAATGTCTTTCATTTGCGAAAGGCATTTTGGCTTGTTTTATTCATTGCTGCTGGAAAGCTATTTTCAGAGCTATCAGGTCCATAAATACAATTAATGAACAGGTATAATTGCCACACATTTAAAATAGCTTGTACACATGGGAGGGAACGATATCCTTAATGTGAGATATACCTTGAAAAATGGCCAAATCACGAGCCTCATATGCAAAATATCCTCAAATTTTTATGTATTGTAACAAGGACAATATCTTGCTGAAACCTGTTGTTCTCTACATTGTAGCAATTACCTCTGCATGTCAGGGTGCTCCTGTGGATCTGTCTTCTGTTTGGTGAATTATTTTAGAGCCAAACTAATTTTAGAATATTTCCAGCCACTGCGTTGACTGATCATATTGTGGTCTTGTGAATATGTAAAAGCCCTGAGAGTTAAAAATGTGATTGTCACAGTTAGTCTTAGTCCTTCACAGCTGACAGTGGCAGAAAGTCACGTCACTTGTCCTGGAAGGTTATGCCTAAGCAATATTTTTCTTCATGCCATTTCTCTATTTTCAATTTTACACTCATTTATTTAGTGAATGCCAGTGGGGTTTGCAGGGTAAGAAACATTGAAGGGTAAGAAACATTGCAGTTCTTTTTGAGCAGAGAGCTCCCAGTTGCAGCTGACGATGTCATTGCTGGATTTTGGTTTTTATTTTTTTTTTTATGTTTGTGTGTTCTGCATCATCAGTGAGTCACAAGCCCTGGGAGGATATATATCAATGCAAGTATCACAAAGCAGTTTTAACTTCATGATCAGTTGTTTTTCCCTCAGAATCCAGAGGCAGTTGGAGTTTCTAAGAAACCATAATCCAGATAATCTTAATGTAATATGATCTGAGTTATAAAAATTCCCATTATTACAATGTCTTAGGGAAGTCACAACTAATTCAACAAGACACAAGATCAGCTTCATGTTTTATGAAAAACAGCAATTAAAACTACCTAAGAAGAGATTCAAAAGCATTTAGGCAAGCTTTTCCTGTAATTTTTGTTAATTTCTTATATTTTTTTAGTTGTTTCAAACAGCACAGAAGAGTATCTGGGAGTAATACCTACCCTGTTTCATGCTGAAATGTTAAAGTTACCAGATGTCCTTGATTCTTCTTGGCAGTCCCCATGTGCTTTTCATCATTTGTCTCGTGGCAGAAGACACTAATTAAAATGAAACAGAGTAGAACTCCACACTCAGGACACTTCGTCAACTTTTGGCACTACGGTCAAGCCAGGATTGTTTTGCTCTGATATTAAATAGAGAGCTGATGGCTGCCAGCCATGCTGACATTTGTTTGTGAGAGGGAAAGGTGGAGAACCATTCCCAGGAGGCTGGAACACGGAGCATACGGCGGCAGTGGGTGGTGTGGCTGAGCCAGGCAGGAGGCTCCGCTGGCCCCGCTCTCCGTGGGGCCACTGGGGTGGCCAAACTCCCCCAGAAGGAGCCACCCTGCCCAGAAAAGGAAGCTCTGAGCACCCACTGAGCCCTCAGAGCGTTACGAAATGTTTGGAGTGTTCAGGAACTCTGGGAGCTAAATTTAGAGTGCTTGGCTGTGCTCTGGATATCGTTGGGTGGATGGTTCCTGTGGGATGAGGGGAGGTGGATGGAATAAACTCACAATTCCCAACATTCTGAGTCTGAGACCATTGGAAATCATATGGAGAATAAGGATTGCACTTGATGTGAGAAGGAAATGCAGGTGTTTGTATCCTTTTCAGCTTAATAATGTTGCTTTTTGTTTTAAAAAAACATTTAGCAGTATTGTTTTGGAAGAAATCTATTTCATTTTAGCCTTAAAATGATGCCTTCCTCTTTCTCATTTGCTGTTGAGTAATAAGCAGGGTTTGAACAGGCCTTGGGGAGGTGACCTGAATTGTATGGAGGGCAAAAAGAAGTGCTTTTTAATTCTTTGTAACCTTTGGAAGTGACTCCTGTGGGCTGACAAACAGAAGACAGGTAGGGTTCATGTACTTATCATACCTGTGACACATGATCTGATACCATACAAATGAGTTTAATGGCAAAAATCCAATGGTAAACGCCTCTTCAAAGCAGGGCTTCTTTCTTTAAAAAGTAGGGCTTTTCCAGTAAACCTGAATTAATTTTAGCAGCTATATTCAGTTTTAATAATTCCAGTTGCTTAAGACTAAAGACAGTGAGAATTTGTAAGGAATACAGCAAGAGGACTCTTGTTGGCAGAGTCAACATCCATCAAACTGCAGTTCATTTTCTCAGGTTCAGCCTGGTCAGCTGCAGCTTTAAAGAGCTAAGTAACTTCTGCCACCACAGTTTTACCAGCTCCTTGACCATAATAAGGATTTTTATAGTGTTTCTAAACACCAAAGTCATTCTCTCTTTTTCTTTCACTTTTTTTTTTTTTTTTTTTTTTTTTTTTTTTTAATAAGTTTGTGAGGTCAAGTCAGCTTTTCCAGATTAATAGTCAAAGATTATTCTGAAATATCCCCATCCATTGCAAAACATGGGATTTCAGGCCTGAATCCCACTTCCAGCTGTCATGGAAATTTCCAGTCCCATCCCAAAGGAAAATTCCATTTTCAGCCTTCCATTCAGACCCCAGTTTAGGAAAGGGTGTGCTTTGAATTAGCGTCCCTCTCAAACCCCATTGAGGCAGCTCATTCTAACTTCTCTCAACAGCCTCAAACGCTATGAATTAGCCACAGAAACTTGTGCTCATTTCACAAATGAATGAATGAATGGCTTTTAAAGAGATAGATGTATGTGATGTACACATTTACTAGCAAAAGTGTAGTAAGCAGTTAGTTTATCTAGTAAAAAAAAAAAAAAAGTGTTACAATCTCTTATTGACACGCTGCACTTTATAGACATTATTTTCTTGCTGAGGAGACAACTTGTTCTTTAGCCCAAAACATTTTAATTTAGTAACATATATGATACAAAAAGAATTACTAAGTGAGTGTAGTTGTAACTGTGTTGCTAAAATTGCAGCAGTTCACACTAAATAAATTAAGAGCATTAGAGGGATATGTGTCAGAAATGTAAACCTCCAAAATAATGGAAACTGAGCAAGCATTCAAACAACATATTTGTGGCCTTTGAGAAAAACATCCAGACGCAATTAGAACCATTCATTGAGGTCTGTGGAGTTTCTTTATTACTTTCCTATATATGTTATAAAATATTTTAAACATTCCCCCTTCTCATTGTTTGAAACTGAAATATGATTTTTTTTTAATATCCCAATGCTTCTTTGGCTCTGTTTAAATCAATGGCAAGTAATTCTTGTAAAAATGAGTAGTATTAGCTATAATTCTTGAAGTGTAGAATAATTAGCTATAATTTTTGAAGTCTGACTTAGTAAAATACAGACTTTTCTATGCATTATTTTGGCACATAATCTAACATTTTTACTACTTTTGTCATGATGGAATTATTGGTTTTAATGCCATTTATTATTTCTATAGATAGAGTTCAAACTGTGTAGAGCTTAGGCTCTCTCACAGATAGATAGTGGATATTGTAGGAATATTTCTTGCTTATGGGAAGCAAGACAGGAGCTGACAGTTTAACAGTGGGTGCATTTGTGGGTGAAATTCAGTACTGGGAAAGGGGCCAGTTCCCGGTGATTTCATTCTTCAGGAGAGAACATTAGTGCAGGCATCTTGCAGCAGCCAAGGGAAGCCAGCTCCCCTGACCCTAATCATCCCAAATGAGTGCATGGCCAGCAGCCACGAGACACCGAGTGCCCAGGCCGGGGAGCGGCAGAGGGAAGCCCGGAGCAGGGAGCAGCTGGCACCGCTTCCTGGAGCCGAGGGGCTGCGGAGGAGGAGGGCTGGCCAGGCTGCTCCCGGCCGCTGCCAGCGCCACATTTCCCTGCAGCCAGGCTCCCTGCGGAGCTCTTAGCACGGCCCTGCTGCTTTGGGAACACGGGCTGACCCCCTGCTCGTCATCCTTTTAAAAAACTGTTATTTCCCTTCTGGAATAGTTGTGTTGCTGCCATGTCAGCGCTCTGTTTATTCCATTTCTCTCAAGGATAAGAAAGCGTCAAACCATACTTTTAAAATTACTAGATGTATTTAATATAGAATTATCAGGTGTTAAAACAGTACCACACAGCTTAATGTGGCTTTCTAAAGAATTATTATCCTGAGCATGGTAAAAACAGTCTCTTTGGAGAAGCTGGAACACAATGACTTGCCCTTCCAACTTCTCTATCTCCTTTTGTTCAGGACAAGGGTGGAGCTCAAAAACCAGGCAGCAAGGATTTCTGGTTTTTTTCTTTGTTGCTAATCCATTAAATACCTGACAATAAATCTGATCCAAAATTTAGTCCCCCTGTAAAATAACTAAAGGAACAGTAACTGAAATTGATCAGGAAAATGGTTGTTATAATTTAAATGTACTTTTCTCAGCACTCAGGTTAGTGGCCAAATCTCCTTTCCACACCAGTCAATCACTCTGTGGCTGACATCAAGAGGAGACTGATTTCCTACCTTGAACCTTGGCTACACCTTTGTACCTCCAGTTAAGCTATTTCTTCTCCATGTTTTCTTCAATTTACTCTACTTAGAGGCTTGCTGGTTCCTCAGTACTTCATAATGGAAAAGGTGCAGAACACATCAAAACAGGAACAAATAAATTGTTATTTTCCCTGTCCAAACTAAAGAGTTTCTAAGCAGGACTCAGGGCTTGAGAATTCTCCTGTGACCGCAGTGTTTGCCTGTTGCCAAGGCCTGTGGTAGGATCTGGATTCTTCTTGTGGTGACAAAATAAGTTCCTCCACCACAAGTAAATGTCGTCCCCACAAAATGGAATAATTTCAAACTCAGCATGACAGTTAAAGCCCTTGGCTTTCAGCAAACTGGGACTTAAGCAGCAAATCAAACAACCCATTTTCTTTTTGATGCAGTGCCATGAGGTTGGCTACTTAGAATCTCACTTTTTGTGCAGTAATAAAATTCTCTTCTGCCCCTCGCTGTTGGGCACCGACGCTGTGACATGCATGAGAATTCCAGGCACATATGGGAAAAAATCAACTTGCCATGGAAGATTTACTGGTGAGGCAACGGTCAAATTTTTTCTTTCTCTGCAATTCTGAGCCTGGAACAGCTTCCTTGTCTCCAGCAGATGAGAACGAAATCTGGCTCATTTAATCTAATTTTGTCTCCGCCAACAGATCCTTCTCTCAGTTCTGGTCTGCAGAGCTGATTTTTATAATAGCTTCAATAGGAAAAAAAGAGTGAAGAATTAAAAAATCTCAGCATAGAGAGCCTCCAATGTTTCCTCTGGACATTCTGTAACTCCTACTGTTAACCAGTAACTGTGCATCTTTTTTATTTGAATAATGATGCCCATAACACTGGAAGCTCTAACATTTACTCAGCCAAGACCATTTATCTTGTTATAACAGGATCAGCATCTCAGCTGGGGCTTCTGGATGCTACTCTACTACAAACAAAATTAAAACCACCAGTCAGCTGAAATTAATAGTACATGGGAGCCACACTGTTACTCTGCTCACACACGGAAGGACGTGTGGAGGGTGTTAAATCCCAGCACAATGCACTGAGAGAAATGGATTTTTCCATAATTACCAAACCCCTTAGATAGCAGCTATCACCAGGATCCAGGAGAGCTCCTGAAAATATTGCTCCAGCATTCCTAATGGATGGTTTTCCTCGTGCCTACGTAGGCAAGAGCTCGGTGCCAGCTCCCCCCTCCTCCTGCTCTGCCAGACGTAGGAAGGCTTTATTCCCAAACGGGAGCGTTCGCTTGCTGACATCACATGCGCTAGGATCCTTTTGTTTGCCTGTGTCTCCTGCATTGAAATGTTTGTCTGAGTCACAGATCCCGCTGCCTCCCTTCTCCGATGTCATCCTGCTTGCTTCACAGCTTCTCCCTGACTCACAGTTTTTAAATTTTGACACAGCCCAGTTTGCTGCATGGCAACTCAATACTTTTCCCTTTAATATTTTATTATGTAATTTTCATCTAAACTCTATAATGATGCAAAAACCACTGCCTTTTTTTTCTTTTTTTCCTTTTTTTTTTATTTTTGCAGCCTTTTTTGAATAGGGAGATTTTATGACTCAGATTCAGCACTGAATTTCGTTTCAAGGGAAAGTCAGTTTAGTGTATACTAAATAAAAAATTTAAGATAGTGACTCCCACAACTTGAATTCTCCATTTAGCTGCTGGCTGAGTTTCCTCAGCTCTAACGTTACCAAGTGCTCTGCCAAAAGGGGTCATCTCTGTGCATGTGTACAAACACTTCCCATAATTGAAGTAATTATTATTTTGCAGTGCAGCACCTTTCTTCTCCTCTAATAATCTCCTTGATTTGTTTTCTCTTAATAAAAAGAGGACAAAAAGCTGCTGTGCTTTCAGTAGACATTCATTCTCTGGTTTAGACTCTGGGGCTGCTGATATTGCTGGTGCCTAATCTGGGTTTCCCCTTTATTACAGCCACGAACAAAAGAGATCCTGATTACAGCAAGAAACGAAATGAAGAACGTGGAAGTCATGGCTGTGCAGCAGTTTGGTTCAAGCCCGAGCCACGGTAAAATATTCCCACTTACTAAGACATAAAACATAAAATTATCCTGCTGGATTAAATCCTTTGTCCTTCAGATCCAGCCTTTCATCTCTGTTGTTGCCACCACAGGATAAAGGAGAAGTTCAAAGCAGAGCTTTGACTGTCCTTGACCAAGGACTTTGCAGCAGGTGAGGGCTAAAGCCCCACTCTGGTGTAGCACTGAAAGCTGCATTTCTCTTCCAGCATCCACTGCCTGTGTCCTGCTCTGAGCCTGTGCTGAGCACGGTGCTGCATCCAACCTCCTTGAAATTCAGGTACACACAAAGCCAGATGACTGATCCACATGCCTGTCATTAAATGTGCTGTGCTAGAGGCTCTCATTTCATTGTCTTTTTACCCAGTGTGAAAAGATGGAGTTGTAGCCCCCCACATCCACCCACCCTCCAAAAAAAACCCTCAAAAAAAGCCCCATCCCCAAAGCTGAAGCCACTTCTTATAGAAAACATAGATTTTTATTATAAAAGTACAATTATGTCACATACAAAGGATTTTTATGCCACAGAAATTTGCACGTTGCAGTCTTAATATTAAAATAAAGTCCTGAGCAGGAACTGAAGTTGAGAGTCTCTCAGGCTGCCTTTGGCTGCTCGTTCACCCTGCCACTGCTCTCCTGCAGGTTTTTAACCTGATCCCACTTTGGAATCACTTTGGGATCACTGCTGCTTCTCCTCCTCTGTCCGTGGCCGTTTCCGAGGGTTCAGCTCAGTCCCTTCTGTGCTGGCAGTGACAGCTGCAGGCTGCACATCTCGGAAGCCATGGGACTGGAAGATGAAAGGAAAATCATGTGCTAAGGCTTGTAGGAATAGAAAGCATGAGTAACCAGCTCCCAGAAGATCAGAATGAAGGATCATGCTGCCATTTCTTTGGGAGGAGCAGCCACAGAATGCTTATAGACCAGGTTAAGCTCAGCACTGCAAACTTTACAACACATGTGCCAACTCATGTCTGCTCATTTTGTTTTTTTAAAGATATTTTATTTTCACCAACCAGGCTATCACTTTCATTTTACTGTTTATCACCCCTATGGCTATGAAAAACTGCTTCTCTGTAAATTAACTTATGTTGCCTATTTAAATAAATCAAAAGACAAATCCATCAGCTCCCACAGAAGCAAGGAGATGACTGGATTAATTGCCTCAGTCATTTTCAGAAACAAAACTGTGAATTTCTACAACCTAGGATATTTTTGTTCCATGTACCTACTTAATGAACTGAAAACATCAATGAGACATTGTAAGAGAACAGCAGAGCTGAATCTGTCTCTAGACTGCAAAGACTGTTCCAGCATAGTAATTTATGGGACACAATGGGATGAAAACCTTTGACTGCCAAAAACTAAATGCAGAAGTGAAAACTACATGCTGCTACTCAGAGGAGTGCTTGAAGTGATCTATCTGGCCTAGTACCACTTGTATTTTCTGTTACTGTAGCTCACAATTTAATTTCTAACCATTTTAAAATATGAAAGATCTCAAAGTCAGTTAGCTAAACATGCCATGGATGCAGATGGAGATGAGATGTTGTGTGAAGCCTGCAACTCTCTGAGTTCCCATCTCCAGACAAGTGCTGTGCAGAGAGCACTGCTGACAGCTCAGTGAAGACTCTCAGTGCAGACTTAGAGAGGAGAAGGCAATAATCAGAACACAAAATTGCTCTGCTGATCCAAAATGCTCAGATAGAGACAATGTGGGGACGAGAGCATTTCCGGAACGCTGACATTTTGGGTTGGTGCAGTGTGAGCAAAGCAGGCAGAATTACCATCAGAGGTGACTCTTCCCAAATGCCAGTGTGTCCCACACCAAGACCAATCCCAAACCCCAGCAAAATGTCTTGTTTAAGTCTCCCATCCCTGTATTTCTATTTCTGAATGCCTCACCTCACCCAACCCAGGCTTTTTAAAGGAACAAACAGCAAGAGCTGCTACAAGGGCAGGATCTGTGCAACCCCTCTGCTATTTATAAGCAACTCAAGTGTTATTCTAAAGAGCATAATGGGGAATCTTCAAGTTTAATGTTTCACTACATCTAATCTCTGCCATTTCCCTGAGGCACAAAGGTGGATCTGTAGCCAAGTATCCACTTAATCCAGAATGCTGACTCCCAGTGAAAGCATTCCAAGGGTTAGAAGGGCCAGAACACAAAGCAGGCTGCCCAGGATGGATGTTTTGCACTTGGCTACAGGCAGGCACCTTGAAAATACAAGAATTTTGTGTATATTTGTGAGGTTTGGTAGTGGCTTTCAGATGGTGAGGATGTGGCTGCTGGAACCAAGGACAAAGCTCAGTCTTCTGTCATTTTGAATTGTTCCTTAATGTCCTCTGGATTTACACCCTCTGCAGCAAGACTGGCAAGGGTAGATGTGTTTATTACCTGAGCACTGCTCCCATTGCTGGTCTGGCAGACCCTCCACAGCTCAGGGAAACACAATTCCTACCTGGAATTTAGATCCTGGGTCTCTGTTTTTCACTATGAAATAATCAGGTCACATTCCTGGGAAATTCAGGTGAATCAGCCGAGCTACTTACTCCCTTGTGCATAAATCAATTTCCATTTCTATACTCTGCATTTAAGAATGAATCCTTATCAGCCTGTGGAAGAAAGGATTTCATGGGAGAGGAGTTCCACAGCCCCCTCAGAGTGGTGACTGACTCCTGTGTGCTGGAAAGGACAGGATAAAAAAAGCCCAGAGCTCACTCATGAATTTACACATTTCATCAGCTCATGGGTACTGAGCAGCCACTTTGCCAATGGTACCAGTGCACCTCATCTGCACAATTCTAAGGAATTATTATTATTTTTAATATCTTTCTTTTTGTTTGCTGGTTATACACAAATCTGACTTGGAAACACTGGACATGTATTGACATCTTTCAGTTTAACTATGGAATGAGAAATGATAACAGCAGACTGTTATCAGACCTGGACTTCATGAAAGAAATGGAGATAATACAATTTTTTACTAAAAGAAATCATCTGCTGAAGCAATTCATCAGGATTAAGGGAAAAAACCACAGGGATAATCTTAAATTTTAACTAATCTTTGATTAGGATTCACTCTCAACTCTATTTCAAGATAGTGTGCATTCACACAGAAGAGAGCATAGCTGTTTTATGATGCTTATAAAAATTAAAGAAAAAGGCAATTAAACTGTCTGAGATAAAATCCATCTGTTTGTCAGCTGGAGAAAAAAAGGACTCACATCACATGATCCAAACAACCTTGGGATGTAGTCCCACCTCCCCTTCCAGTCTTTATAAAAGTGAATACATTCAGGAGTTGGGGGGAAAAAAACCCTGATTTCTGTTTGAAAGTTTGAGGATCTCATCTGATGGCAGCATTAAAATCTGCAGAAAATGCTATGGCAACGTGTTTCCATGAGGACACATAGTAGGACAAATAGTTATGGAATTGTACCTATGGATGTGACATCTGAGGATGCAAGAATTGAGTGGTGCTGTCTTTTTAAACCTAAATACAGCTTAGACAGCATCTCTTCTCATTAATATGTATCAAAGCACTCCACAATAGGAAATAATCACAGGATTTAACTGGGGATGAATAAGGACTCCAGCCATAAGCTGGAAGCTTCTTCTATGATAGGGACAGAAGAGAAAAATCTGTGTATATTGGCTGGGTGCAGGGTCAGTGTAGGATAAACACAATGTGGGTTACACCACACATAAAGCAGAGGTGGGGAAATACCTATGGAACAAAGCACTGGACAGGCCTCTGGAATATCAGGTTTAATTCTGGTCATCCTCATCCCAGAAAGATGAACTCAGCTGGAACAGATGCAAAAAGCCACCTGAGAAACCACACCCTACCTGACCAGGGAGACAATGGTTCAGGACTCCCAAAATGAAGCTCAGATTGTTCCTGGTAACTGCACTTAGGGCAAAAGTTAACTTCAGGGATAAATAAGATAAAATGAGCAGCACCAGCAGCAGAACAGATGGGGACAGGCTGCCTGAAAGTTTCATCTGGAAATCAAAAGTATTTAAACTTTAGTAGACAAAATGCTGGGTCACTTTTCTAAAGAGAAAAGAGCAAATTACTTCAAAATCTGGAGCTATCCCAGCATAACTACCTTCCCTTCAGAAAGCAGCTGAAAAGCACACTAAGAAAGCAAAGCCCATTGTGAGATTTGTGTGAAATTCCTTTCCAGCTGGGAATGTCCATCCCCACAGGAACACTCACTGTGATGTGATAGGCTATGGTGGACTCCTTCTGGCTCGGTGATTTGTACAACGTGGCCAACCTGGTAAAACAAACCCCAGGTAATTATGATTAATTAATACAGTAATAAAAATTCCAAATAACCCAGTGACCAGACCCAAGTTTTCCTACATTACCAGTGGAATTCTTAGGGATGTGTTTCCATATAGGTCATTCAAACTGTGGATTCCCATCCTTACATGACCTGTCAGCTCAAACACAATCTAGACCTACTAAAAAGAGTGAATGATTAATTAGCCTTGTTTCATCACAGTATTTGATGACATTTTTGGAACAGTATTCATCATGAATTAATTCCAAATGTCGCTTTCTTAAAATGCAAACAAAAAAGGTTTTGAGCACACCTCTTCCCTACTCCGTTAATCACTTGCTCTTTGACCTCTCGAGGATGTGAGAGACCTTCAAGAATTCCAGTACTTCTAGGGAGGCTTTTTCCAGAGATTTCCCAAGCCTGTCAATATAACCCAGAGGCTGGAGATGTTCTATTTCTAAGCCTGCCCTTGCCACTGACACACAGCACAACCTTGAGAAAATAGTTTCCCTTTTATTTCTCCTCTGACACTTCCCTGATTTGCTGCATTTAGACTCTAAGCAGTACACCTTGATTTGTGTTCTACAGTAAATGCTTGCATAATATAGAGAGAAAATTACACAGCAGCTCAAAAGGAAAGGGGTTTTCAATCTTTGTCAGGGCTGCACCAGGCCCACCTCCCCAAAACTCACACTTACATAAGCCAATCTAGAAAGTGTTCTGCTCTCTGTAGCAAGACACCCTGCCAAAAATCCTGTTAATTATTTTCGGGGGGTTTTTTCCTCCCTGAGGTGCCATTCTATTAGAGAGCACGTAATTACAGCCTGAGGAATGCTGCCACTTAATGTTAGCTACACAGGGAATTCCTCAGAACACTCAAATGCTGGGTTATACTTGACAAAATTGCCCAAATCTGGAGCTGCAGAAGCCAGGCTTTCACAAGAGCTCAGCTGGAGCCTCTGACTCAACAGGATCTTTCCTCCCAGCAAAGAGAACCCTTAGAATTAAGCTCTGATATTTTCAGGAGTAGAGAGAAAGGAGGAAATAGGTATCAGAGTTGGCCAAAGCACATTTAAAAATATTTTAAAAAAGGCAAATGGATCCTCAAATGATCTTTGTGCCTCAATAACCTGACATAAAAACCACAAAATCACAATGGAGCATCAGCTGCAGGCAGCCTGTGCAAAAATAAGACAGCATTGAGCTATTTCTGCTTTTACAGTTGTATCCAGAATTGCTGTTTCTGCAGACCCCAGTCCATGTTAGCTGCAGATTTACATCAGTAAATAAGCCAGGTTTGTCTCTCCTTGGCTTGTTTTCTGGAACTTCTGTCTGCAGCCTTCCTAGCTCTGCTGCAGAAGAAAAAAAGTTCTTTTCATATATAAAATTAACTTTTGTTCACTCTGTAATCATTATGTTGATGCAACTTGTCCTAAAAAGACTGTTAACTAATCAGTGATGTTAATTTAATTCCAAATTAAACAGCCTGCTGTAATCATCCTGCATTGCCTTCAAACTTAGAATTTAAAAACAAAACTCCCTAAGAAAGTGTCACTGCATTTTTCTTTCAAATTCAACAAGCAAAACACTGCAAAACAACATTCTAGCACCATTTTTGCTCACTGTTTGCACAAGACTAGGGAATTGCAGCACAGCTCCTTAATCTCAAGCTGCTACATGGTGATATTACATATAGGACAAATTTAACTGACCAGGAAAGAGAAATGACCTTACAATATAAAGAGGGGGAAAAAGAACCAGGAAACAGAGGAGGTCTCATTGCAACAAACAGAATTTCAGTGTTTTTAGAAGATTCAACCCCTGAAGCTCAGGGTCAGCAGCCTGTCCTGAGGGTCACTGGCTAGGTGGATTTAAAGCCTTCTTTGGCACCTCTGGCTTTGGACTGACTGGGGATGAAAACACTGAAGAAAAAATTATTCTCAAAGAAATTATAGTGGCTACAACCAACCATGGAGGAGTGGGAGGTTCTTTACAATGAGACTGTTGAAATTGCACCTCTTCAGAGTGGGGCATAAAAATCACCTTGTAACCCAGCAGCTCAATACTTGCACTGAGTCTACGGCAAAAATTCACATTAAAATGAGAAAAGTTTTATTAAAAAAACCCAACCCAACCCTACCTTGCAGAATGCAGATTGTAATAGAAATCCTTGTGTCTGAACAGCTGCCATGAGGATGTTACACTTTTATAAACCATGGCATCTTGTCAGGAAGAACCCACCACGGTGGGGAGGAGGAGCTGACAGTTCAGCCCCTCACTGTCCCAGCCTGAAGGAGAAAATTCCTGAGCCTCAGGAGCCTGGGATGTGGCAGAGCAAGGCCAGGAGCCAAATTCAAACCCCTGCTTGGCCCCCATGGCCAGTTTGAAAGATTCTCCAGGGCCATTCTTGTATTTATATGGATTTTCCTCCCACTTTCCCTCACCTCTGAGTGTTGTCCCAGTGGAAGATTAAACGGACAGTGGCAGCGTGTCCCCAGCTTTCTCCTGAGAAACACAAAATGACAGGTCATTATCTCTTACAACACCACCATCAGCAAGCTGAAATGAAATTAAACTCCAAAAACCTCCCATGATTAAAACAAAATCTGCCTTTCTTGCAGTGATGCATCACATCTTTTTCATCCTTGCAAGGATTTCACAACAAATACACTGAGATCAGGAATAACCTCTGTAGTCTGCGTGTTTTACAGAAATCTTGATGCAATACTTCCATATTTGTAGAAAAAAATCATGGATGCCTAATAAAGGACAGGTACTAGACAAGTCTTGAAAACAGAAGCAGCTTGAAGAAGAGATTTAGCTAATTACTACAGAAGAAGTCTGGTGAGGAGGTCTAAAACCTACTTCAGAACTGTGATATTCTGTCTCTCAGGCATAATTATGAGCAAACATCAGTCCCTTTGGGATGCCAGCTTTGGGAGAAAGTCAACCATTATTAAAGCATTAAGGGCCCCTGAAGCAGTCTTCTGCTTCTGACAGCAAAATGCAAAATAACACAACCAAAAGCAAGGAGCAGGGAGGTGTGGTGGAAAGAGAGAAGGAAGTTTGGATTTTTATCCTGCTCCAGGGGCTCAGTCCCAACGTTTCAGCTCACACCTGGCCACAAGTCAATGCACAGACATCTTTATTGGGTGATTTTTCCTCTGTTTATCCCCGTCAGCACTCCAAAGATGGACTGCATTTTAAACCAGTCAAGTCTCCCCTGTCCACCTGCTCTTTGTCCACCCCTCCCTGGTGTCCCCCACATCCCCAGTCCCTCGTGCCCCCTGTGCTCTGGTATTTATTAGAGCACAGAGAAGGAAAAAAAAAATGATCCCACTGTAATGAAGACCTAGACCCTTTAGGCATCTTGCCAGACCTTGCTCCACTACATCTGAGTTGAGATTAAAGATTTTGGCTCTCAGAGATGGCTCTGAGGCAGAGATCAAAACACATTTTACAATGGCTACAAATTCCACACCAGCAGATTTCCAACTGCACTGAATATGAGTGAAAAATGCTACTGTAAAATGAGATATTTCTGAGTTGAACTGCCTGTAGATTAATATTTGACCTCCTTTCTAAGTATATTTAGTAGAAATGTCTAGGAACACCCAGCTTAGCTATCACTAGTAGGAAAGAAAGCTGTCCCCTTCATAAAGCTCCTGACTTAATACCTTGCAGCATCTGTGCTTTTTTCTTTCTTTTTTTTTTTCCCCTCATAATTAAGATCTTCCCTTCTGCTCAGGAGCTGAGTAAGAATTTAGAGATTAATGCTTTCATGAAAAAGCTGTTTCTCAGGCTTACCAGTCAATGGGAGGAAAAACCCAATTTAGTGATTTTATTTGGGGGTTTGCTGCTGACCCCTCCCTCAACAGCTCCTTTGGCTACACCAAACCATGGAGGAGTGGGAGGTTCTTTAGCTTTTATGATGAGACTTTTGAAACACCATCTCTTCAGAGCAGGGCATCAAAACCACTTGGTTAAATATTTTCCCAACTGGTACCAAGCTGCATTTTTGGAAGAGTTCACACTGCTCAGTTTAACAATAGTGTGGTCACACACGCTGGGGAGAATCACAGTCAGCTCCACAGGAGGCCATGTCAAATTAATTGTTTGTGAAAGAAAATATGCACAAGGCAAGGCAGGATATCTGGGAATTATAAACTCCCCTGAATGTCTTCACATTCTTTACTGTCCCCATGACTCAATAAACACAACAGCTCCCAAACAATGCTGGCCAGTGAAAAAAGACAGACTCTATTAGCTTTAATTGAGTTTGTAGCCAGAAAGGCTGCCAAAAATAATCCATCAGAGAGCAAGAGGCAAAACTGACAAAAAGGGTCAGATCCTGGGAGCTGGGTCTGCCTGCACAGCTCCAAATTCCACGTTCTTCACATTCCTGCAGGAGATGGGCTGTGTTTGTTCATTTTACCCTCTCTCTCTGCCAAATGGTTTGGTGCCTGTACAGACTCTGGGAACATCTCTGCCTTTGTAGTGTCCCCTTCCCTCTCCTCTCCAGAGCAAGGGAATCATTACTTAGCTCACAGAAAATGAAGAATTTGTGCCCTTTAAGTGAATCATAAAATAATGCAATGCTACAGCCTGAAATAAGATTTAAATGCTGAACCTTTCCTTAATTTGTAGAAATCTCCATTTCAGAACTGTTTTATTTTCCCCTGTGACTGCAGCAGAAAGGCATGGATGAGGTATCTGCTCATTACAGGGCAAAATTGAGCAGCCTGCAAAAAAAAATCTTTAACCTGGCTCAGGGCAGGCTGTGCCTGAGGATCCCACACAGAACCTCCCTCTACATCATAACTGCAGAGAATTCCAGTGATACAGCAAATATGAAATGCCTTTGCAAATAATTAATGGGACATGTTCAAGGGTAATGGGAAAATAAGCAATTTAAACTGTTTGGGAGAGGCAGTGAATGGTTCTCAGGGAATTTAGAAAATTGCAGCTTAGTTTGGGGTATGCAACCATTAAGCTGAGTTCTTTTTTGAGTGATTTAACCTTCTCCTCACCACATCCCTGCTAGAGGTTTACAGCTCCCAGGTACATTTTTGGATGATTTCTCTTTTTACATAAAGCCAAAGTAAAGGAACTCATATATCAATTTTCAGCTCACAGCTCAACACTTACCTAAAGCAGGTACCAATGTGGACTGGCTTTGTCCAATCCTTGTTGTCATTTGGTTTGTCAGAACTACCTGAAAGAGGACACAGAAGCAAAAAAAAAAAATACAAAAATCTCCTGGAAATCAGCTTACTGGTGGGAGGGAAGAGAGGGAATTTTCAAAAAAGCTTTTACTGATGAAGCAGTTACTCAGGCAAAACTCTTGGCAACTGTAAAGAGGAGAAACTGTAAGGGTGCCTCATCTTTCCAAAACAAATTAAGAGTACCCTGCAAAATGTATTTTTGGTTTGAATGGGAGATTTCTTTCATTCAAGACTTTAAAGAAATCTCAATTTCTTCCTCCCCAAGGGAGACAAGCTTCACACAACTTCTTTATCCCACAACACTTGTCCTAAATGTTGTTTGGATCTAAGTTTAGCTGCAGCTGACTTGCACTGGCCCTCCACGAGGAGCCAGCTCTCAGTCCCTGGGGTAAATGAACTTGGTGGTGCTGCTCCCAATGTGCATTAGCCTGGTGATTAACTGAATTCCTGTGCCTTGTAGTCTAAAAATGCACAAGTGGGTACAACACAAAGCAGAATGGAAGTGAACAGACAGAGCGGGGGAGTGTTTTCTCAGCCCCAATCACTTGTGGGAGGCTCACAGACAGTCTAGGTTAGATCCCTGGCAGAAGTGGGGGTGGGTGAGACAGAAAAGAGCCAGGAATATTAATGATAAAGTTCATTAAAAATGAAAAATTGTACCCATCTAAGACCCTAGAGAGTTCCATTGTTTGACATGCTCAGAGGATTCTTGCTGGAGTAGTTCAGAAAAGTGTGTGTGAGCAAAGAGTTCCACTGAGCACAGCCTGAAACATTCACACAGCTGAGAGCCCAGCACAGATATTGCACATTTTAGAGAAGTAACTCATCACAAGTGCATGGTAACAGCCCCAAATAGCCTCCTCATCTCCCTGCTGGAGAAGGGCTGGGCATCCTCACTCCGAGTCCAGCTTTAGGATCTGACTTCCGACCATATTAGAGCATCCAGAGCTGCCTGACAAGCAATCCCTGGCACGCAGGCTGGATTTAGCCTGCTCACAGCCCATGGAACTAACTCAGACACCACTAACAAGAGAGCCAATCCAAGCAAAACCAGTCCTGAAGCTCTGACTCCTTTAGCAAGAGTTTATTTAGCAACTTTGTACTAAAGTGCTGCCTGGCTCAGAAGAAATTATTTATATTTTATCCTTGACCAAATAAAATCATTGTCCAATGACAGCAGCTGCTGTTCAAGGTCACCAGGCACCAAGTTCTGAGGGAAAGCACTCGGGAAACCTGAGGCTGTGCAGACCTTGGAACATCATCTCCTTGGTGCCCAGAGCAGCAGGAATGAGCTCCACAGCTCAAGTCAGGACACTCTGGGAATGCTGGGCTCTTCCCTTCCCACAGCTCCCAGAGGAAGCACAAGAGGAGTTTTATTTTTAGCAGCTTGGAACAAAAGCCAACTGCGCCAGGGAGTTGTGAATGACAAGGTCACAAGTCACCTGGACACTGTTAGAGACACAAGCACCATTTTAAGGGCTGGGGAAGCTCCAATTCCTGAACAATGCTTCTCTGAGCTGTCAGAGACTTCCAAAACAACTTCTGGAACAGCTGCAGCTTCCCAGTGCCATCTGCTGGCTGCGGGTCTGCTGCCTCCAGACCGTCAGTGACGTAAAACAATGCCCAGGAAGGAGGCTCTGGGTTTCCATGGATGCCAGAAGAGAAGGCCAATCCAGCAGATAAAGTGCTTTTCCTCCCTAGGAATGCTAATGTTTATTTTTAAACAGAGAGTGGAAAGTGATGTTGGAACTGCTGAATGCTCCCAGGTATTTTTGTAAAGTCACCAGAGGAGCATTCCTTGTCCAACCAAATCATTGGAGATGATGGCAAACAGCATTAGAAATGCCATGCTGACACTTAATTAAGATTCACAGTAGGCTCTTGATGCAAATTTTACTTATTTTGGCAAGTCTAGGAATTTCCCACCTTTCAGGTGTCTTGCCTTTGTGATCCCTCTATATCCACCAACTAAACTAGCAAGAGAGAATGCAGAGGGTATTACTGCAGAGGTTATTACTGCAGTTTTATTTTGCTATTTAGAGACAAGAACAAATCACATTTCCTTAATTCTTTGCAATAAAAAGTATCATCTTTTGGGCTTGAAGCCTGCCCTGGACTCACAGCTGCCCTGTGGTCGTTGGCTATGATGATGAGCTGCTGGGCCAGCCCGTTCAGCAGCACTGCAGTTTTATTTTGCTATTTAGAAACAGGAATAAATCACATTTCCTTATTTCTTTGTAATGAAAAGTATAATCTTTTGGGCTTGAAGCCTGCCCTGGACTCACAGCTGCCCTGTGGTCGTTGGCTATGATGATGAGCTGCTGGGCCAGCCCGTTCAGCAGCCTCGTGCGCAGGGACAGGTCCTCAAAGTCGTGGCGGAAGGGAAAGGCAATTCCATCAATCACCACCAGCCGCACCTAAAGGCAGGAGAAAAGATCAAAAACTGCCATCAACATCCTATAAAAAATGACAACAAGCAGCAAGATCTGTTTTTAAGTGCACCGGAATATTTTGTTTCATCCTTAGGTGAACATGACTGGCAAAGCTGGACTTAAAGCGGAGAAGCTGGAGAAAATACTCATTAAACAGCAGAAGTGTACTTCAGCCAGCTCCACAGACAGCAATTAATTCACCTTCTCCTTCAAAAATTAAATCCAAATCAGAATCAGAATTCAGGCTCTCTGGAGCCAATGCTGAGATAACTCAGCTGTTATCAGTGATCTGTCTTGGAAACACACAGTTTAACAGATGCCTAAAGATATTCCAGGCACACTGCACTGGAGCTGAGGATCTATCTTGCCTCAAGATGTTTGCTTTGCTGAATTATTTCTTTTGTAGCAATCATTAGCTGAAGTCAGAGCATGCTGCAGCTGCTGGCTCATCACCCTCAAGACACTGTATAAACATTAGTCTGGGATTTTGATTTATTCTAACTTCATTTGTTGTGGCTGTTTTGATGACCCAAGTCTGAAATATAGGAGGGAGATGGATGGTCCTATGGTGCCTGAATATTCAGATGCCACTCAAATCCTTGGTGTCTACAAGTTCCTGCACAAGATAAAGTAGAAAACAACACAAAAATCCTGATCTTCTGCATTACTGATTTAACTCATTACTGGGAAGCCTCTTTATGACTGGAACATACAAGCCTGCACAGACATCACTGTGAAATCATCCTGGGCCTCTAACGGAAAAAAAAACCCTTAATTTGCAAAAGAAGATTAAATAGTTGGGATTAAAAGAAGATATTAGTTGTAATCTCATTTTCCCTCCTTCCTACAAATTCTTTTCCACAAGTCTGCACATTTTCCTCATATATCATTTCTTTAAGAACAATCAGTTCAACAGCATAAACATGACTCATGCTAGACAGGAACGTATACATGGTTATATAACTTGGCTATCACAAATAAGTCCAGGTAGGATGCAATTTAGTTAAATTTCTCCCAGATAGCTGAAAGGAAAACTTGAAATATTTAAAGTGCAAAGAGAGCTTGGTAACACCTGCCTCGTCCATGCCAGCTTGGCTCTAGCAGACCTTAAAAAATTAGGTTTTTTACCACAAGAATATTTTCTAACAGTCTTTCTCATATTATTAACAAGATCTCAAACTAATTAATATTTCCAAATGGCACATTTGGACTTCTAACTTTACATCTTTCTTATCTCTAATCCTCTACAACTTTTTCTCTCTCCTAAAAACCCTAAAATCTGGAGGCTTCCTGTGTCCCAGACTGGGCTCCAGAGGGATCAGACTAATTTTAATGAGAGCTGGACTGCAATGTGCAATCTGTCAAGTCACTCCTAGCCCGTCCAAGGAATCAGCAGAAGGTCTTGTGGTTCTCCTGCAACCTTCAGCACTTCAGGCTGCAGGCCAAGCCCAGATAATCAGCACAGATGGTTCCAGGGAGCTGCAGCCCAGTGGAACTGTGCTAATGAAGCCATGTACTTTCCACAAGAGCAAACACAACAGGGCACCGTTAGTACCTGGCAGGGAAAGGGAAATACCAGACTACACCAAGCACAAGTGAGGCTCCCATCTGTGTTTTCCAGAACACCACAGCTCCCATAAATGAAAAGTTTTGGAATATATGCAAAAGATATTCTAATCCAATACTGATTTGTGCTCTGATAAAACAAGGCACAGTCATATTTCCCAGATCCTGACAGGGAGTGATCTGCAGTGCAGAACCCAGAAATCTGGAGGGGAGGTGGTGAAAATCTGCCTTACAATAGCATTTCTCTAAGACATTAGGTACTAAGAAACTTTCTGGCTGCAGTCCACCCAAGAGTCAAGCTGCAGGCTCTGGTTGCTTGTAGCAACAGAAGATGCACTGAAAAGGAGAGTCAGTTGGGTAGTGCAGGATATTTCTGGTCACAAGTGCTCTTTTAGGGGAAAAAAGTGGCACCAAGGCTTTCTGATGCCACCCTCGTGGTCACCACACACCCCCCTGGCTGTGAGGCTCTGGTGCAGCTTTGTGCTGATTCACAGCTCAGTGCTCACAGAAATGGAACATGTGGCAGCACAGACCCAGTGTCCTCAACTCAGAGTGGAAATTCAGGAGGATGGCAAAAGCAAATTACTCTTGAGAGTAATTGGGATGTAAACGAAAAGGCAAACAAGCAGAAGGCTTTACATTTGTACTCTGCTATCAGCCAATATTTTACTGCCAAGCTGACGAGGTACCAAGGTGTTTACTCCTGTTACTACAGCAGACAAAAAACTCTTCAGCGTGAAGATGAGTGACACCTCCTGACAAGCCTGCAAGGAGCCTCACCTTGGAATGCTCTGACAGGAATTCTGGCAGGAGGTAGACCTGGGCCAGCAGCTCTGTGTAGTCACGACAACGGAAGTAATAAATGTGAGAGAGGATATTTTCCAGAGAGAAAGTCTCCAAAGCTTTCTGATGGTCTGAGAACAAAACAAACAGATGAGTAAATGAGTCAGAAGTCTGTACGAGCATATTGTTACTTTCATCATCCCACCAAAGCCTGCCCTCCACACATAGCAACAGCAAAGCCCCCAGAAACAGAACAGGCAAGGTAAGGAGTGTGGAAACATATTTTCCATCTGGCTTGAAAGCCAGGAAGGTGGTGAGCAGATGCTATCCCAGCATTTGCACACAGACACACTGGAGCCTCCAAGGGAGGGCTCCAACAATGAAAAATTTATTTCTGAAGCAAGAACTTCTCCAGTAAATCATTTTCAAGCCAGAACGCCACCAGAGGACATCAGGGACTATTAATCATCCCTTGTTTAATATACAGGCAGTAACTCATTTAATACAGTGTCTTTTTAGCTCAGTTCAAACAGAAGTTTGGTGCATAAATTCTCCATGAGTAACACAAAAGTTGTGTCCTTATTCCCAGGAGACTGATGACTTAGAGAATAAAACTTATTAAAAGCAGCCTGGCTATACTGACTTTATGGAGGATCTGAATTCCAGCTATGGTTTTAGTCTATGGGCCTTCAGCAGCAACATTGCCTCATAAAATTCTGCTGCTCCTCTTTTCTTTCCCTGCCTGCTCCTGTGTTTTGAAACAAAACACTCAGTTTTGCTCAACAGGTGCAAATATGATCAATGAGATGCTGCAATATTATCATTAAGGTGCTAAAAACTTGGAAGGAAAAGAGGAAAGGAGGAAGGTCAAACATCAAAACCCCACAAGCCATCTAAAACCCCCAAGATCAAAACGTTCACAAAATCACCATGTAGAAAAATAATTCTTTTTGAAGTAGCCCAGCCCAGTCTGCTCCAGACACAGATGCAGTTCAGGGTTTGATCCACAGAGGTGGAAATAAAAAGCTGTCAGCAAACACTCCAAAAGTAACACTGCAGCCTACGAGCCACTTGTTTCACTCCATCCTTGCCTCCTCCAGAAAAGAAATGACTTGGCAACGTACCCTCTTCTTGCTGAGCCTCAGCAATAAGGTGGCAGTGCTGCACACAGGCAGCTGCAATGTCCACCACTCTGTCCACCATAAAACTTCCCTCGGTGTCAATGAACACAGCTTCTCCTGCAACGCCTCCAAAGCACTCTGGGATCTGGACATCCACTGCCAGCTGCATGCTGCCACGGGAAAGAGAAAGAGAGATCAATATTTGCATCCCAGAGCTGTCCCTGCTCGCTCCTGGAGCGATATTCCTGCTGAGGAATACACGGGACAGGGAGCAGTACAGCCATTATTGTATTTATAATGCTGGAGAACAATCAGAGATTGCAGTCAGACAACAAGAAAAATGGACTTATTTCACAAAATGTGATTCTTGGTTGCACACAAGCCACGGGACAATGAAATACCACAGCTGGGTTTTGCCAACTCCGGGTGCTCCACAGATCTCGGTGATTTTTGTCAGCTGCACTCCACCTCCCAGGATGTTGTCCAGTGCTGAGCAGAAGGTGATGATGAAGCCCTGGGTTTGCTCCTCTTCCAGAAGCTCCAGGGCTGTGCACTTCCTGGTGGCACCTGATCCCCCAGCTGTCCTTGCTGTGTCCCCGTGACATTCCTGCCTCACCAGCTGCAGCGCTTCCAGCGCCTCTTCCCTGGAGATTCCAATTTCTAGAGGAGTCAAAAGCACAAAACACCACCTTTATTTTATAAGCACTGACTGATTCTGCAGCACGACACAAAATGATCCATATTCACCCTCTCAGGACAACGTGCACACAGCCCTGGCACTAATGATGCGATTTTCAAACTGTAACTGTCATAGATAACAAAACTGTAGATAATCGAAATCCCAGACTGGTTAGGGTTGGAAGGAGCTGTAAAGACAACCCAGTTCCACCTCTGCCATGGACAGGGACACATTCCACTATCCCAGGCTGCCCAAAGCTTCATCCAGCCTGGCCTTGGGCACTTCCAGGGATCCAGGGGCAGCCACAGCTGCTCTGGGCAGCCTGTGCCAGGGCCTGCCCACCCTCACAGGGAGGAATCACAACACACTCCTTGAAAAAGGCAATTTTCTAACTTCAAATAGGCTTATTTTGTTTAAGTCACATAGTAAACAGAATAGGGAAGCTGGGGAAAGAGGAGAGATGAGCCTAACAGAATCCCTTCGTTTTCCTGCATCCCATTTACATCCATCAGTACCAGCTGATCTTTTACCAGAATCGTTTATTTATTTTTTTCTTTTTAAATTATTCACTGTGCCCATTTCCCGTAGGCCTCACTGGGGCGTCCCAGGGGGCAGGACGAGGAAGGAGGAAGGGCCCGGAAGATGCCGGGGAGGCCCCGCGGGGCCGAGAGCCGCCGGTACCTTTGCTCAGGCCGCAGGGCCCGGTGTCCAGCAGCTCCTGCGCCGTCTGGAAGCCGGCGGCGGCGAGGCGTGCGCGCAGGGCGGGGGCCAGCGGCAGCGTGCCCACCTCCCGCTGCATGGAGGCACCGGGACGCACCGGCACCGGGCACGCCCCGGATCGCTCCGGACACGTCTCGGACACGCTCCGGTCACGTCTCGGACACGTCTCGGACACGCTCCGGACGCGTCCAGCGAGCGGCGATCGCTCAAGCCCCGCCCACCGCTCCGCCCCTCACGGTCTGGCCCCGCCCACCGCCCCACCCTGGCGCGAAGCGGGCGAGCGGCGGCGCTGCGCATGCGCGCTGGCGTTCCCGCGTGTCGGGGCCGTTCGGGCGGCGGGTGAGCGGGTCCGCGGTGACCGCGGGCTCCCGGAGGGGCTGGAGCGGGCATTCCCCACCCGGGAATGCCGCTGGGTGTGTCCCGCCTGTGCGCACCGGAGAGACCGCTGCTCCCGGCAGGTTCTGTGGTTGTCGCCTCGCCCGTCCCCGCTGTGCTCCCGCACCGGGCGGGCCGAGAGGGCACTGTTAGGGAGGGCAGGAGGCTGATTGCCCCTTCCATCTCTGGATATTTCTGCAGGAAGCAGACCTAACTTTAAGCTACTGCAGGGTCTGAAGTCAGAAATAAGTTCTTTACGTTGAGGTGATTTGCAGCTTGATGTTTCCTACCTTTTCCCAGTTGTGTTCAGGAAAGAAGATGGCTCATCCCATCCCTCTCCCATTTCCATGCCCAGTCAAGCTTGGAAGTATAAAAGGAGACTCCCTGGAAGCTGACCTGCATGAGTATGTCAGGGAAGGGAACTATGTGAAAGTCAAGAAGCTTCTGAAAAAAGGTAAAAGCTAAGTTTAGACAAGTACTGGCAGAAAAGATTTACTTTTTCCTGTATTCTTTTATTTCTGGTAAAAAATAGTGAGCAGACTTCTTGTAGAATCCAGTTTTCTGAGTGAAATATATTAACAAAATTATTTATAGCTGCCCTTTTCCGTTAAGTGGGAATAGTTCTCAAATGAAAAAATGTATTAAGTTAGTTGAAAAAAATAATATTTTATAAGTAAAGGGCTCGTAAGGACATGAAGAGGCATTGTAAAACTAAAATTCTGAAAGTCAGCTGTAGGACTATTGTCTTTAAATGGGGTTGTATACCGATTGCCAAATGCTTAGGGAACAGTTTCAACCTTAAGCATTTTGACAAGCCGATTTGTAGCCACATAGGAACAGGGAATTTTGTACACGGATCCAAACAGTCGGTGCAGTTTCGTTTCGGTTTCAGCATCGCGGATCTCTGGGTTCTGCTGATGCAGAACTGCGCCTTCGCAGGGCGGGGCTGGGCGGGGCCGGCCCTTCGCGGCGGGCGCGCCTCTGATTGGCCACAACCCTGATGATCAGAGAGTCACCCATGACCAAGGGAATCCTGTTCCAGAATTGCCTTTAATCACTTGTGGGAAGTCCGTGTCGCTCGGGCTACAAATTCTGATGGGTTTAGGGAGCAACTGCTCCGTGTTGTGCTCGTTGTACCGCCGGTCCGTGGTGCTCAGGCTGAGCCCAGAGATGCAAAGGCCGGAGGTGATTGAACAGTGCCCTGTGGGGTTGTTCTTTCTGCTACATGAACGCCACCGTGAGAGCGTCGGGAGAGGCTCGGAGCCAGCGCGCTCCCCCGGGGGCAGCCGTGCCGCGCTGCTGCTGTTGGTACCGGGGCTGTTCTCCGCTGCTGACCCGGGGCAGCGGCAGCACGGGCGGTGCCGGTCCCTTGCGTCGTGTCGCGACAGCTGCGACAGCCGAGTTCGGGCGGCGCGTCACTCCTGGTGGGCGGGGAGAGCGGGGAGGCGGGGCCGCGGGGCCGCCAGGCTCCGGGAACGCCTGAGTGGTTTGTGGCCCTTTTTTATCATGGTTAAAAAACAGAATTTGCGGGTACAGCAGCTCGGAATCTGCTGTCTCCTGAGTTGTGACCCCAAGTGACCCACAATCACATGTCATATAAATCCCTCCGGGGATGGCGACTCAGCCCCTGCCCTGGCCAGCTGTGCCAGTGCTGGAGAGCCCTTGCAGTGAACAAATCTTCCCCAGTGTCAAGCAGCAACCTCTCGTGTTGCGACCTGAGGTCGTTTCCTCTCATCCTGTCACTGTTCCGTGGAGGAGAGACAGAGCCCAGGTGCCTCCATGCTCCTTGCAGGCAGTGGCAGGGAGGGGGACAGTCCCCCTGAGGCTCCTTTGCTCCAGGGCTCGGGAGGGAGAGAACACGGACTGAGTGGTTTGTGGCCCCTTTTAGTTTTTAATCACGGTCAAAAAACTGTTCTCGGGGATAAAGTGTCAGCCCTGCGAGCTCGGCATTGGCTGCCTCCTGAGTCCTGACCCTAAGAGCCACAAACACGTTTTATAAATCCTTCCAGTGCACCCTGGAATTTATCCAGCAGGCTGAGCCCCCTCAGCTGCCTCAAGGGCTGCTCCTCAGCTCCATGGCCCTTCCCAAAATCTGTTCCCTTGGGCTCGGGAGGGAGAGAACACGGGCTGAGTGGTTTGTGGCCCTTTTTTATTGTGGTTGAAAAACAGAATTTACAAGTAAAGGAGCTCGGGGTCTGCTGCCGCCTGAGTTGTGACCCCAAGTCACACATCGTATAAATCGTATAAATCTCTCCAGGGACGGCGACTCAGCCCCTGCCCTGGCCAGCTGTGCCAGTGCTGGAGAGCCCTTGCAGTGAACAAATCTTCCCCAGTGTCAAACAGCAACCTGTCCTGGTGCCACCTGGGGCCGTTTGCTCTCATCCTGTCACTTATTCCATAGAGGGGAGGGACAGAGCCCAGGTGCCTCCATGCTCCTTGCAGGCAGTGGCAGGGAGGGTGACAGTTCCCCTGAGGCTCCTTTGCTCCAGGCTGAGCCCCTCAGGGCTCGGGATGGAGAGAACACGGACTGAGTGGTTTGTGGCCCCTTTTTTTATTGTTAAGAAATAGAGCAAGCCCCCAAACCCTACCCTTGTTCCAGTCTTAGACTCCTCATTCTGCCATTCGTGCTCATCGCTTCCCCACTTGCCAATTAATTCCAGATCGGAATGTAATCCCAGATGTAATTCCTTTTTTTGAATGAAATCAAAGCGACCGAATATTGGAAATCACAAAGGGTTCTGACTGGAAAAGGACCCCAGGCGTCACAGAGCTCGTCCCTTAAGGAAATGGCCCATGCGGGGATCGAACCCGCGACCTTGGCGTGATCAGCACCGCGCTCTGGGCAGTCACTGAAGAGTAATTGACTGATTTATTAATACCATAATAACAATAAGAAGAAGAATAGCAAGTATATAAACTTATTTGTTAATCAGTAATTACTAAAGAACAATTAACTTATTTATTAATACAGTAATGATAACAATAACAACAATAACAATAAACTTATTAATAAGTAATTACTAAAACAATTGACTTATTTATTAATATTATAACAGTAACAATAATAACAACTATAACAATAAACTTATATATTAATAAGTAATTTAAAAGAATAAGGTACGTATTGAATATGATAACAATAATAATGACAATAACAAAAAAACTTTTTAATTAAGAAGTAATTACTAAAGAATAATTTACTTTTTTTTAAATTCTGTCCTCCTGTTATGTGTGCTCATCCATCTCTACTTATATATCCATAATTTGTACTTCTAGAGATGATGAATATATATATATCCATATATGTATATATATATATATATTTCCATGTATATATATGTATACTTATGTATCCATCTCTCTAATTTAAACAGTACATATAATTACACAACACACTAATCACCATTTGTTACTCACACATCCTTTATTTAAAATCCTCGTGGACGTGCAGTTCTTTCAATCCTTACATAAAATCACAAAAAATACCATTTGCTCTTTTCCCCCTCAATTTCTGCTGCTGGATTTTCACACCCGCAGCAGCTCAGAGCGGCGATGATGAACCACCAGCTTTTATTAAAACAATTTTTTAATTAAAACCAACCCCCACCCTTGGGAATCTTGTGTTTCCTCGCAGGAATTTTTGTGGATGCTGTGAATTCCATGGGCCAGACCTGTCTGTTCACCGCGGCGCTGCTGGGGCTGGGCAAAATCGTGGATGTGCTGCTGGAATACGGCTCCAACGCCAACCAGTTAAGTACCAAACGTTTAATTTTTCTTAATTAAAATTAATCTTCGAGTCGGTTCAGTCACCCAGTATTCACTGGGCATGAGTGGAGAAGTGCTTAAGGTGCACGTTGGGATTTTAACCAGAGCTCCTCAGTGGTAAAGAGAGAAATCAAATAGGGAAATAATTTAATTTTTTTTAAATGAAAAATTATTTTATTTGGAGCACACAATCATTCCAGGAATGCTGGTTTTTAACCAAAGCTCCTCAGTGGTAAATATAGAAATAGTTTTCTTTTTTTCTTTTCATGCTTTATTGTTTTATTTGGGACATGAAAATTACCTTTTTTTTTTTTGTGGTTAATTCTGTTATTTGGGACATTAAAATCTTCTTTTTTTCCATGCTTTATTCTGTTACTTGAGACATGAAAATTTCCTTTTTTTTGTGGTTAATTCTATTATTTAAGACACGAAAATGATCTTTTTTCATGGTTTTTTTTCCGTTACTTGAGACATGAAAATTATCTCTTTTTCCATAGTTTATTCTGTTATTTGGGACATAAAAATTTCCTTTTTTTTGTGGTTAATTCTATTATTTGGAACATGAAAATTTCCTTTTTTTTGTGGTTAATTCTATTAAATTGTTTTATTTGGGACATGAAAATTATCTTTTTTTTTTTTTTTGTTGTTTATTCTATTATTTGGGGCATGAAAATTTTCTCTTTTTTCATGGCTTATTCTATTATTTGAGACATGAAAATTTTTTTTTTTTTTTTGTGGTTTATTATTTGAGGCATGAAAATTTTATTTTTTTTTGTGGTTAATTCTATTATTTGAGACATGAAAATTTTCTCTTTTTCCATAGTTTATTCTGTTACTTGAGTTTTTTTTTTTTTTTTTTGTTGTTTATTCTATTATTTGGGACATTAAAATCTTCTTTTTTTGTGGTTTATTATTTGAGGCATGAAAATTTTATTTTTTTTTGTGGTTAATTCTATTATTTAAGACACGAAAATGATCTTTTTTCGTGTTTTTTTCCGTTACTTGAGACATGAAAGTTATCTTTTTTCCCATACTTTATTCTGTTATTTGAGACATGAAAATTTT